TTACCTATAAGTAGAGGAATTTGCTAAGATTTTTTAAGCTTAAAGCAATTATGTTGCAAGCCAGATATGTGTGGACTCACGGAGTGGTAGGGAAAAGCTTGACCTGGACGACCTACCGTGGTCCTCTGCACGGACAGTAACCTGCATGGCAACAGAGGATGGATCGGGCGAAATCTCAGTTAGATCTCAATTAATGACCATCAGCTATTGTTCCCATGTGTCAAGGACATCACATATTGGCTAGTGTTGCAAGTCACTGACGGTCACGGAGTGAACATCACAGCAGGGAACCGAGGGAATGTGCACCGCTGAGGAGGCGAAACGATCATTTGTTGCATCATCGGATTGTTAGTCAACCTATCTGGCTTGTAATCTAAGTTCAATGCAAAGATGCTGTCTTTTTTAAGTTCGTTTGGTGTTTTAATGTTCAGCAGCAGCACCCACTCATAGCTAAGAGGAAACGAAAAATGCAGTTCATTGGGCTGTGCTATGCTGCAAAATGTCTTTGGTGACTGGTACTGGTTGACGAAATGCAGTGTAAGTTACGGTTGGCTAAGGACGTTGTTTCTTTCACACCAACGCCTGTCCAGAAATAAATACGATTACATCTCCTAACAGGTGTTGTCACAAGGGCCTCCTAGGCTAACATCGCATGTGTATGTTTTTTCACTGTAACTTTGGCAGCAAGTAGGCTGACATACTGTGCGCACCTGCTAAGTAAAAGCTCTAAGCACTTCATCCGAAAGTCGTTCCAAAGAAGCTACTGATCAGGTGTTCATCACTTCTTTTTACTTCACTGCATACGCGCATGCACCTCAGGCAATGGCGAGGATGTACGTGGCCTGGATCAGTTGCAAATGCCCCGATTCTACAGAAAATGAGATAAACACGAACATGCAATTGTCGTGCACCGGCCATAAGATTGTTTGAACGATGTTGCAATTACATTTCACATGTTTAAGTAGCATACTAGCGAGGCCAGTTTCGGTATTGCTCTTCTTCATTCCTGTACTTAACAACGCATTTCCTCTTTTTTTGGGCTCATCAGGTGGAGATAGCAGGAATTCTGAGTAGAATTCGGCATGAGTTGGTTGGTGACTATCATGATGATCAATAGGCCATTGAGTTCCTTGAGCACACACCGAAAACCTCCAGTTCTTATTGATCGCAAATGCTAGAGGCTGAATGCAATATCAGCCAAGTCCACAATGGGTGTTTTATAACCCAAAAATCAGACTAATGTGATTTTACACTTAAATGTCATGAGCTTGTCGAAAATAACGCAATGCATTTTTCCTATTTCCTTTCCAAGTTACGTGCACAAATTAATTGACATGGGAGTAGATGTGGTAAAAGGGCACAGCAAGTGGATTTCGTCTTTGGAACACTGATGAGTTCTTCTGTGACTGGAAAATAGACTGGCAGAAAGTCTCGAATTTTAACCTCTATAAAACACTTCTAAGCTTTCAAATTGGCGCACAAACTAGGATTGGGTTGGTCTAACAGTGATGTGCTATCAGATCTCTTCCGATCATCACCTGTTGGCTATCGATCGTGTCGGCTGGTGGCAACTTGTGCATCGCGACAAAGCGCACGTTGCGACCAGATGAGGATGATCGATGTAGTTTCCTGGTAATTAAATCTGCACATTTGGCTTGACTTTGTGCTACTTACACTCATCCATAGAAAACTGCGTTGTTTCGTTTAGCGGAACTTCATCAATGGCTTCTGATATCACAAGACCAGGTTAGCAACGACATTTACTTTCAATTTCAAGGCTGACTGCTTGTATGAGGTGTTCATGGTGCTGATCTATGTGCGGAACAAAGTCGGTTATGAAGTGCTTTAGGCAAAGTCGCGAGGCCGCTGTTCTGAAGCTAACAACATTTTCTTTCACATACGGTTTGTTGGTTATAGACGTCCGTTTTCGGAAACAAATGGCACTATACTCTTGCGAAGTTTACGGGGTTTATGGGTGCAATTAGTTCCCATTTTTGTCTCTTCTAGTGCAACTAATTGCTAGCTTTCATCAAGCTCAATGGTAGCGGAGCATTAGTTTAAAGGATTGCTGTGCCGTTGTTGATAACGAGCATGATGAGCTGTGACAAGTAACCTTGCGAATGGACGAAACTCAACTGCATCATGAGGCTTGGAATCTCCACAGTGTTATTACCTCAAGTAAAGTACCAGTTTCGATTAACGGCCCATAATCCGAATTCAAGAGACTTCCACTGTATTTGTTATTGATGCTTTTCTGGACAAACAACAATGAAAGTTTGTTTTAATGAAACTTTTCCGTTTCGCATTTGAGCACAGTGATTACAAGAATTGAGCAATCCTTCAGCTTATCACGCTGTCAAAATAAGACTGCGCACGGCCAGTCAAACACTCGCAATCGTGGTGCGCCACTTATGTGCTGCTCAAAGGTCTGACATTGTATGCTCCTGCAACCATTATTTATTTACAAGTTCAGTTTGCCAGATAATAATAAACTAAATTGGATGGTTTAAGTAAGAGGGAAATCGGTCATGGTGAGATGTATTTACAGCCCGCGCAATCTAGATTTTTTATTACAATAGAAATGGTTGCATCTAGCCATATAATCAGTAAGTAAATTTCGATGAAATTAAATATAGCGTATCATAACCTAAACATAGGTTGCTCGTCAACTGCAAGGCAACGATGAACACAAACTGGTTTTCAACTGGGCTACTAATATTCGGTCTTTAATAAAAATCTGGTTTACTATGGATTTCTTCTTTTCGTTTGTAAGATTTTACAATAATTACAAATCACGGACAAGGACAGGATTTTTCTACCATGGCTATAGTGACATATGATTATGCCACGATCGAGTAACACGTACAGTTAAAAATACGGACCAGTGAATTGACACTTATTACACTGAGTGGGATATTTGGGGAGCAATCACCAATGTCGAGGCTTCCTGTTCCTTCTGAGTGCAAAGGCGATGCGGACGAGATGTTTTAATTACCCCATTTCGTGTTTGCTGAGCGCAGCAAAAAAGGGACACGGTGAAATGGTCTTCTCTTGCTGGAGATGTGATACACCATCCATTGATATCAACTGCACTTACGCAGGTCAGTGCTCAAGCTGAAAAAGATTCAAATGACTGGTATCCGTTTTATCCAAGAAGACCCAGATGCCGCACCGAGCATTCCAAGTGGGCACCTAATAAAAGATACCCTTGTGAACAGTTGGAACTGCGCTGATTCACGAGATACAGGAACCCAAGTGCTGTCCGTTATTGACAGTTAGGGCATTTTGAACTTAATGGGCACGCGGTCATCCTCCGTTACTTGCGTGATCACTTAGTTGCATGAGTTGGGTAATAAACCATAAATTCTATCACTTTGCGTAGCATATGCCTCGTTTTACTCGAGTTTTACGTGCGTTTAATCATCACGCCATAGCACGCATGAGAGAGATAGCACATTGCTTACTTAAGTACAGCATGTTCTAATTTGTTCTCACTTGAACACATCACATTTTGACTCAGTCAGACATCCAAGACAAGTCAGCTAATGTACTAGAATGTCGACTCATTCATTGGGGAGTCTTCAGCAGTGTATGGTTCAGCTGTTCCCTGTGAGATCAGAACAAGCAACCCTACGCTTAAGTGTCTGTGGTTAAGCACACTAGTGGGTGATAACACGTGCACTGTTGACGATTCCTGAAAGATTCAAACGGCTATCCAGTGGGGGGATTTAACTGTTGCTCCTTCACAAAACTGAACTCCCGTGCGGCTTTGTCCTCATTTAGACGCTTCAAGTAGAGGTATCCGAAGATGAGCCTGCAACTCTGGTTGACAGATGAAGACTGATTCATCTACTATTGGGATCAGCAATTGATGTTCGTTACATCCTAGTTTATAACGTATCCACCGTGTGCCTGGATTGCAATGTTTGTTCAATGTGATGTAAAGTTCCGTGGTTTCGAATACGCGCTCGGATAAAAATAAAGGAGAACACTGTCGTTTGATGCAATGTTTGCAGCGAGCAATATTAAAATGCCTTCAATTCGGATAAGGTCCCCGTGATTCAAATGACTAAGGTTTGCTCCAAAGTAAGGTGGTTAGAATATATATTGCTTGTTGCAGTCTAATCACACCGTAAGTGATTCAATGCTTAACTACGTCCATCCAGAAATTTTCCAAATAGCTTATGGCTATCAGACTAAGTCAATGAGTTATTAATTCAACTCTTACCGCTTGGATCCTCATACTGTCTGATTGTTACCCATCACTCGACTTTTCCTATGCATTCGTTTCTAATTTCCATAGATATTTGTGTTCAACTCATTATGGACTATGTCATACGCTATCGACATGAATGTCATACTTGGTTAGTTGACACGACTGACGCCACGACGAAAATGACACGCTTGATGAAGTCGATATCGGCTACAGCACAAACAATCCATTGGTCTCTCTAACAGCAGCGTAGTTAAAACTAAGTAGAAGAGGCTGATAACCTCTTTCGGTTGCGTTCGGGTGAGCAGTCTTCTCGACGGTGTTCTAGGCTGACCGATGCCCTATTATCTCCATGATATTTGAGCTAATGACCAACGCGAGGCAAGCTTTGGTAATACAACTCTCACTAAAGGCATTTAGTCCTTTGCTAAATATGATCTATCTACAGTTGCTTAGTGATTTTACGAATCTGGGCCACTACACAACCGATTAGCTCATTGCGAATAGATACTTATAGGATTGCTGCTCCGAAATGCTTGTGTGTCTTCCACTTGTAGGTCGCCCGGTTACGACCCTTCTGACCTTTATCTACATGTTTGTGCGTTGGACTGTTGACGCCTCAGCATAAGTCACCTATAATCGTAAGTATTGGTGAGCCACTTGTGATTGTCCTTATACATAGCAGGAAGTAAAGCTAGTGACATACACTCAAGAAATTCTGACTTTTATCTTAAGACAGCTTTCCCGAGACCAGCTGCAACCATGAGCAACTAAAAAAAGAACTTACTTGAAAATATTTCACTCGCGAGAAATGTAGCCGAAGTATACTTTGCAGTTGCAGATCTGGCAGACACGGATTGATAAAAACCACTTCAACATCAGACCTCTCACGATCCTCGTGTAAAAAATCAGACAAAAAGGTTTTCACCGAATCTGTGGTAATGTCCCCACATACTACAATGTGAGACCGTCCCTCAGGCTTCACGTAGGAACCAGAGTAATTGCGAACACTGAAAAATGTTTCTGCGATTACCGGGATAGCACTGGCGAATGTGGCCAAAGCGACGAGTATGAAGAATATCACATATGCTCTTCCAAGAGGTGTTTGTGGGGTAAAGTCACCGTAGCCCACTGTTGACATAGTCACAATGGTAAAGTACAGTGAGTTTACGTAAGTTATCGGTTGACTGACGTTGTAGGGCTTGCCATTCAGGACGTCACCGGTGTTCTCCAGCAGCAGGTACATTCCTGCTCCGGACAACCAGATGGATAAGAACAAAGTGCAAAAGTGACACAATCGCAAACTGGAGGCCGAATTGATCATGTTAAAATTGTGCAACACTTCAGCCAAATTCATCAAACGGAAGGCACGTACAAAGCGAAAACCCAGCCATGTGCGTCTGATCCAGAAGCCAAGCAATGTTGGAGGGATAGTAAGGTAGTCTAGAATGGAAAACCATTCGATCCAGAACACAAGTGCATCACGTGCAGCAAGAAGACGAGCGACAAAATGCAGGGCAAAGAACACGTTCATTAGGAAGTCTAAAAATCGAAATCGTCTCCCTTTGTGGCCACATTTTTCCACTTCACCTGGCCACATCGATGCCTCGAATACGTAGATTCCGAATGAGCACAAGCTCAGAACCATGGAGAGTCCAATGAAACATCGTCCACTTATCCACTGGTAACTGACCAACCGCAGAGCACACATATGCACACAGTCGGAACTGGCTCGTATACTGTTGGACAAGCGTTGGTGGAAAGATATTGTATTGGTAACTACAACGGAGGCGGTGTTGGACGCATCACCTTTTCCATCCGTGTCAGCTGCAGTGAGGGAAAAAGATGTTGTTTTTGATTGTCGTGAGATATAATCCTCGGAGGGGGTTTGTGTACCATCTTCCGTCGAATGGTATGTCTTCTTATTTGACTTAAGGCAACGTGAACATTTGACCTTGAGGTGGTTCACCAGCTGAAGCACAGCGCGGTAGATAAGGATAACGGCGATTCCGCCAAAGAAGCAGGCAAATGAGGATCCGAGGAAAACATACCACCTCGGCACATCCATGCATGCCTCCCAATGCAGTCGGTTCAGCTGCGATGCGACTGGTCTGATACGAACGTTTGTAGATTTGTTGGTTGCCATCTGTAAATCAAGAGAGATAGAGACATGTAAACACAAGGTAGTTTAGACTTGATCTAATTACAGCAGAGTTGTGCTCCTGAAATTGGTGGAATTGTTCACAGTGTGGCACATATATTGCTAAGAGGTATGCCAAATGCACACGTTAGACTAAAGTAAGTAGACCGGGCTTTAGACATCTGCCCGTAATGTTACTGTACGGGATAAAAGACAGAACAGAATGGTTGGAACAGATATACAGGGATTTGGTTTTGAGCAATTGCTGGAATACTCTGACTCTGACATTATCTTACAATCAAACTTCGCGAAGATGTTGGGTTTAAAGGTGGCTTTGTACCGTTGGAGTGCCATGACGGGCAACCGTTGAATTCGAGTAATGAGCGTGCGTACGCATTAATAGCTCACTTTACTTTTTCATCCTCAACCGGTTATACATTTGCATCGTACTCGAAGTGCGCAGACCCTGCCGAGCTCGACGGTATGAATTGCGGTGTAGTATGTATATAAAATCTACTGACCAATCCTGATGGCACGAAGCCTGGCAGTCTTGACTGCCTCCACTCGTTGATCTTTAAGCCGTTATCAGCCATCATCTCGCCTTCCGGAACTGACTTCTTTCACAGCTCGTTTTCCGAAGGTACATTGCAACGTGACTGTAACCCCTCAGTACTGATGGGTGGTGGCCCAAGCAATTTTTACAATCAATGGCCAACTTGTCCGATATCCGTTTTGGTGTAGACAGTTGAGGAGATCAGGAAGAAGGGTCTGCAACAGATACTGAGGGACCTCTTGACTCATGAATCACCAACCAACTGGGATGCGTCATTGATTTTTGCATGTACTGAAATCAGTCTACGTGATCTACATTGATTACAGTAATGTGTTTGTCAAACAAACAATAAATTCCTTTTTTCCAGGATGAAGATATGCGGTATTGGTGACTCGCTGCACCAGAGCATCACCCACTACTCTGTTGAACGCAAATGGATGGTTTTGTTAAGTGACTATCTAAAGGACTAGTACACTCCCACTGGTGTTGGATCCCAAGGCGTATGTTTGCGACCCATTTCGATCCTGATGTAAGTTAATAAATTCACTAATCTTCTGCGGTCTTGTTGTATCTTGCTTGCGGACAAGGTGAGGATTTTTAGAGCATACAATGCCCCAACAGATAAGACATACTTCAGTGAGAATTCGACTGCGTCTCTCTGTGGTCTGGTAAGATTGGTCTACCGGCCAACCCATGCAAATCATTATTTTTGAACATAAAGAAGGTTCGTGATGGCCCAACGTACCTCCGTGAAGGACCTAAAGGTGCGGTCATGCTGCATATTGTAGTCCGTGGATAACAGGAGAAGGCTATATGGAAACCGATTACGTGTAGTTTCGGCGCTGAGACGGAGCTTCTACAGTTGTTCTGAAGAGAACACCATTCTGTTCCTCTCTTACATTATATAACCAATGCTAAATTATAGCTCATCCGCCTAATGTCCATGCACCCATTGCCACGTGCAGAGACTGGAGCGGATTCAGCATGAAGACAGCCTCAGTCCGAGTGTACCGGATATGTCGTATGAAGGTCGATTAAGATAACTAGGGCTGTACACCATATCGCACCACTGATTATGAGTTAACTTCGAAAACTCATCGAGTATCACATATAGGCGATTCTCCTATGCTAAAGCCGCTGTTACGCGGGTTCCAAGCAGCACAGGCGGTCACCGACACAAGTGTGCAATAAAGGTTCTAAAACGTATAGCCCTGGCTTTATGTTTGGAGTGTCTGGCAGTGAGTATTCTTGTGACATTTGCCTGACATAAGTCGAGACAAGAGCAGTGTTGGTTACATAGCTTGGAAGCGCACTGAAACAGAATAGGGTATGGTACAGGTGTAATTTGTTTAGAATGTACATAGATTAGTGAGGAAATTTCTACCACATGCTACATCCGGTTTCAGTGGAGCAAACTCGCTGTGTGCTTTCCGTATTTTAATATTAATTTCACTTGTTCAAGCGAACATATCCACAAGTAACCCTGTCAGTTCGCCAAACGAGAATATCCTTGATTACTTTGAACTCAAGGAGAGACCAGACAATCAGCTGTTGCAAAATTCAAAGAACATACTTATATAACAACACAGTTTAAACACTTTCAACCCCACGAAATGTACACGGCGTTTACTGCCATGTAGGAACCTGAGAACGGCACACACCGAAACACGCTACTTATACACATGAGCAATAAACATGCATCTACGCCAGGTGTGATGCCGAACCAAAGTTGCCCAAATGCCTCCCAAGATAAGCTAATCACAGACAGGTATCAGCATCTACCAGTCCGGTTTTTGTGCAAAACCCACGCGTAGTTAAACACAGGTCAATCTAACTTACTACTCGATGCCAGTTTTGGATTGTGCCATCATTCCTAATCAGCTTGGTCGTCGGAACTGCATCCGAAGTGGACACGACCTATGTAACTCGTTTCTAACACTGTAGGTACCAACCAGTGTTATCCTTCCCTTTCTTTTCTACAAACATTACTTCCGTTCTTGTCCTCTGGCAAGGGGTCTGGGTGTACATGTGAGCATTATAGAAAGCGGGTGCACAGATTCCTGAAGATGGCTAATCACAGTACAGCTCGAAAGACTGAATTTGCTGGTTTTGTTGATAAAAACAAACCCACTTTTCAAGTAAACACTCATCGGACCATAACGTTTAGGTGGCAAAGCGTTGGCAGCTTCACATCGGGCCCAAAGCATGGCATCTGAATTGTTTGAACAAGCAAATCAACACGCAGTTATATTATAGATGGTAGGTATATTAAGAGAAGTGTACAAGAGCTCGATAATACATACTAATCAACACAGGTGACGAGCGAATGGTGAGCGTATATTATCAGTTGGCCAAGGAAATAGTAACGGACGTATGTCCACATGTGCAAACATAATTCGGGCCTCAAATGGTGGAGGTTCATAGCCTCAGCAATGGACGGGATCTGTTTGCGGAACCTTTGAGCAGTGCATTCCGTCAAAGTGTTTAAGACCTTGAAGTCTTTTCCAGAGGCTGTGGAGCAAAATCTAGGATACGTGACATAATAGAGATGTTTGTTGGTCTCACTTCGCCTTTGTGGAGCCAGGCCGAGATGTGCTTGCAACTCCTCTACAATAGGCGCCTCGTAGTGCCACCCACCTTTCATGCACTACAGGAGAACGAGTGTCCATGGTTCAATCAAACTATGTGTTGTGAGTTGATACTCAACCGCAAGTTTACTTCTACATGTAAATGTTCGAAAGATGATTTCGCATGTGATACAGTATGCCCACCGTTAAACGTTGGTTTGTTGTACAATTATATAAAACAACCAGGAATCTGGTACAATTGTAGGAATTTCCCTGCACCGGCTATCAATTATGTTGACTGAAATATTTATATCGAACCGACAGTATAAGTTAAACGAAGGTATAAAAATCGCTTAGACATTTAGCATTATTTCTTTCCGTCGCAACGACACTGGACCTTAACGTGGTGCGACGGTTTGCGTACCTCATTGACCCATTGAGCTATACTGGGTGATGCCTCCCAGCATCTCGAGATCTACTCCTACCAGGTTGGTCAATGGTGAGAGGTCAGACAAACTCAGTCTCCTGGTCCTCCAGGTTGGGGGTTTAAAATGGGATGGCGTCCATTTCTGTAAAACTAAATCACTGACACCCCGCTGCCGTGCGGACAGGCTTTTGAGCCGAAGGCTTTGGATGAGGACCCTAATCGTTCTCCTGTCTAGGTCTGGGCGCCCTGACAGTATCCCAGCCCACATACAACCATGACATTCTCTTCAAACATAAACTTCATCCTGCATCGGCCGTCGCGCAGATTATCAAGGGTCGCCTTATCTGCTGCATACAGCAGGTCGGATAAGCGAAAGCATGCTACTGCTGGCGCCTCCCTTCTTTCTTTTCCACCTTTTTCTCTCACTCCCAACCCGGCCCCCATTACTAGCCTTCCTTCTATAATTCCCAGCTTAATTGACAGCAACCGAAGTGCTACTGGAGTAGAACCATCTGCAGTCACCATCCCACAGCACCTATCAGGCGCCTATCGGGAAAAGTTCCTTATAAGGCCACGCTATCCCGTTTCCATGGCGACATCCAACGTCCGCACTCTAAGACAAACAGGTCAGCAGGCTGCACTCGCACGCACCTTGGACACACTGGGTATTGATGTGTGTTGTGTGTCCGAAACTAGGATTAATGACCCTAACGGGGTTATTGAATTGACTGCACCTGGCCTATCCTCTCCTTATTGGTTGCGCGCATCCGGAGACGCCGATGCGGCACTCACGGGTCAAGCTGGTGTAGGTATCATTCTCAGCTCCAAGGCTGAGTCATCGTTGGTTGATTGGATTCCGGTGAACAGCCGTTTATGTGCAGCCCGTTTGACGACATCAGCTAAGGTGAATTCGCGAAGTAAAATAAAACGCTGTTTGTTTGTGATTTCTGCTTATGCTCCCACGGACTGCAGGTCTAATGCAGTCAAGGACACTTTATATCACGAACTAAACACACTGCTACGCAGTGCTACTAGTTCAGATATTATAGTACTTGCAGGGGATATGAACGCACAAGTAGGGCGTCTGAGCTCTTCAGAAGCTCAGCTGGGTGGTAAGTATGGACTTAACTCCGAACGGACTGACAACGGCGAGCGTCTGCTGCAACTGTGTGCGGAGCACCAGTTGTTTCTTACTAGCACTGCTTTTAGACACAGTGGGCGCCGAAGTGCCACTTGGCGTCCACCTGTAGCTGGCCAGCGATGGACCTAAATTGACCACATAGCCATAAGTTACAGGTGGCACGGTTCCATTCTGGATTGCCGCTCGTACTGGAGTACCTGTGTCGACTCTGACCATGCTTTGGTGCGCTGTCGTTTCTCCATGAACTTTACCGGAAGGCGCACAAAGCGTCTCCCCCGATTGGCAACGGAGAAATTGTCCCAGCCTTCGGTCAGGCAA